AACAATTGTATTTAACTTTTTCTATTAGACACAGTTTTCTTAACGGAGATATACTATTTGTGGTAAATTTGCCTATCTAATCATGTAAACTTCTTTTTGAGCTTTGGTTAATTGGTACCAGGTAAAGTACTTAAAAGTTTTGCTATCAGACTATTCCATTTCCCATAACTGTGCATCCACATTGTAGACATTTGCTCTTTTATTATCTTTCAATTGAATTCAAATTTGAAATTGAATAATATGTGCTATATATGATAACTGGGGTGGGCAATTGACATAAATTGTCAGGTTTGTTAACCTGACAATGTATGTCAATTGCCCACCCCAGTTATCAAATGTAATTTTCAAGGCAAAAAGCTAAAACAGTACTGAATTACATACTCTATATTTTACTGTTTTAAATGGCAAATGATTTGTGATTCTGTGCAGCCATTTTTATGATGTGCGCACATTTTCTTCAGATACCAGACAGGTGACACACATAGGAGTCTATTCACAAAAGGGTGAAGGGTTTGGAGAAGGCAGGAGAAGGGAACAATCTAGTACAACATAGCTGAACTGGAAAGTGAGCTGAATTGGAGACTTTTTCCAAATCGGCTATTTTGTCTCTCAGATAGTTCACTTCTCCTGCCTTCTCCAAACTCTTCACCCTTTGTGAATAAACCTGATAGTTCTTGATTATGCAATTGTTCTTCCTTTGTGACCTCTCTGCCTCCAGCCTCCATGGACAATGAATCAATAACATAATGTTTGCCTAGTGAGTAGGGAGCTGATTTAGGAAGCAGTAAAGCTTACCTAGGAAGTGGCAAAGTAATCTTACTGACCAGCATAGGTGTGTGTATTCCAACACTGACAAGTCAAAATTACAACTCTTTTGGCAGGTATCTTGCTTACATATCCACTGTCTAGAATAATATGATGAAATGAAAGTTAAGGAGAAAAATGAACCTGTGGCTAGGCTATGGATATTATGGTGATGACATGTTCTTAATAAGTAATAATTGGCCTTTGCAAGCCCTTACTGACCTCTGTGCGTGCAGACATTGTGGAGAAATTCATCCTCAAATTCACAGTAGAAGCATTAAAGTCATTCAAGTCATACCATTAACAGCTTAACTCACCCTGCTCCCCGTCCTAGAACACCTGCTCTCTGTTTACATTACAGGACTGGGGGTGGGAGGGGCGAGTTTGGCTTTAAAGTACTGTATATGTAAACCAAACCACTTTAATTTTATTTAGACTTTAGCATGCTAAAAGATTGTACATGTTACTGTATTTTACATACTGATAGTCATCATATTATTTATGTTTCTTGCATATGATTAGGAATTAATCTACCAAAACAAATGAATACTGCAATTTACCAGACCAAAACTAATGCTGAATAGAAATTTACCAGGTTTTTAAAGGTTGAGAAAGAATTTGTGATAAAAATCTATACTAAAAAACTCTATACTGACTGTCTTTGTGTCTGGAAAACGGCTAAAAGAATTCAGAGGGGAGTTATTTTAATTGATTAAGCCCTAGAAAACGGATCTTAGAGAAGAAAAAGCAAAATATTGAAGTTGGTTTACTAAAGACCTACAGGCTCTTCAATTATCAAAGTAAATTAAGCTTAATGAATGAGGTGAATGAGGTGTGCTATCTTCAACCATCCAACCCTGTGTAAGAAAATATATCCTATTTTTAACATTTTCCTTTCATATAACTGAGTAGCCAAAGTTAACACTGCTTCACATTATTTACTGAACTCTCTAGGCTGGGTCCATTGGCTTGCAGGGTCCCCTTGGAGCCACTCTGTTGTGTGCACTCCCGGCCACTTCACACAGGCAGCACAGAAGCACTCCATTCAAAGCCATGTCAATGTTCCTCCGAGAAAATCTTTGATTGACAGCAACCACATTCTATGGAATCTACTAGCAACAGCTATGTTGTGAATAACAGAGTTTGTGCATATGTCTGTGAAGGTTCTCATTCATCTAGGTCATGGTAGATCTGTAAAAAAATAAGTCAAGGCATCTGGACTTACATAGTTAGTCAGGTTGAAAAAAGACACAAGTCGATTGAGTTCAACTTATAGAGACTTGCTGTATTTTTTTTAACCAGCTTTCTCAATTCAGAATGACTTGTACAAACATTGTCTGGGAATAAATATGGTGAATGTTGTTCCAATCCACATAATCTGTTAGTCACAACCAGGTGTTGATATAATTGGAGCTAGGTGTTAATAACCTGCCCAGAGAGAGGTGTCAAAACAGCATTGTATGTGGCAGACAATAGATGTCGAGAATAGAGTTTGTGCACCCTTACTGGATGTTTGGGGAAATGCAGCATAGAGGGACAAAGCCCAGACATGTTTTAAACAGAGAAAAGAAAATGTATATAGCATAATGCAAAGCAAAGTTTCATTTACAGCTAGATTCATGTGGCTACCTTAAAAATATCATTTTGCAGCAAGGTTTAATACAACTTTAAAAGGAAGTATGTCCTGCGTGTTTAAATATTTTATCTTTTCTCGCTACATTTTCTTTTGATAGAACATTTGTCCTTTTGATAGAATTTAATTAACTGCTATTATGTACTGTTACACAGAAAAAAAGGAATGAATAGCTTATTATAGGGCATTCAGAGGTGGATGACTTTCTGTAGCTAATACACTTTACTTAGTCATATCACCTCTTTGAAGAAATGGAATATATTTTATGTAAAAACATCTTTACTATAAAGTAATGAGAGTGTCTGGGAGCAATAGTTTTAAACAAATTAAATAAACACGAAAAACGTTATTACTATAATTACCCAGTACAGAGGCTTATTGAGTAAGACAACTATGAACTGTTACCACAATATCACATAGCACAAATCAGATTTTCTAAGGATGGATCTAACCATCTTTTATCATATATTCTTCAATCTATTTTTATCACTCAATGAATCCTACACATTTAAATGAGGCTACAAAAATCTAACAGCAGACTGCATAATATTTAAAGATAATGTTAGGAGAAATTAAAAAAAATAAGTACTCTTTGGAGAATATTCTCTCTCAAACATGCACACTGTCCCTGTTTTTTCTCTGCAGGTACAGAAAAGTACCTGTTTATCCTGCTTATCCTGCCAGAAATCCAGTGAGCTCCTACCCACCAGTGTACACTACCTGTGCTGCACTGAAAACTTAAACTGTGTTACAAGCCCTGCCCACTTCTCTTCTGTGAACTACATAACTCCTAACCACTATGTTATGAGATGAGGAGAAGGTGAAGTATTCTGTGTTCTTAACACACTTCCTTGTCCTAGGGTGACAGCACTGCTCCTCCATAGATACAGTACAGTGAGTGAGAGTTGTCTTCTAGCACAGGAAGTGTTTTACTGGAAAACTATTGAAAACGAATGCAGGCACCACATCTAAGGACTAATACGCTGCAACATGTTTAGATGCACTTTAACTGGAGTAACAACTGTTTATACTTATTGTAATTAGAATGTATCATTCTTTTAATAATTGGACTTTTCTGACAAAAGATTTTCCCATAAACATGCATGCTCAGGTGCCTACCTTTTTTTTAAAACTATGTAGGAGGGATAGTACTGACCAGGTGAAAAATAACCACCTAATCAATCAATTCTTCCCCTTAAGGTGCCCATACACCTTACAATTATCTGCAGATTGTCTGTGGTCAGATGGAAAAAGTGCAACAGATTGGGCCAGGGGGAGATTACTCCATCCACACAGTTTAGTGTAGATGGAGGAATCTGTTGCACCTTTTCCATCTGACCACAGAAAATCTGCAGATAATTGTAAGGTGTACGGCCAGCTTTAGAAGGATCAGGCTGGAAATGTCTGGAGAAGTCAAGGAGTACCTGACTGCCTCAAACAATCAAAGATCTTATGTCTTATTTTTTTTTATAATTAAAATCAATAAGTAAAGTGTATCTAAATCCAAGAACATAAATGTAATATATTGCAGCTTACCAGTCCATTGATATAGTGGCTCTGTAAGTTTTTTTGCTGGCATGTATGTATGAAAGAGCATCATTGCCCCAAGGCAACACTAGCTTACTATAGAAAGTTAAAAGAACACTGGATTTTTAACATGGTCAAAAGGTATTTGTCTGTACACGCAGCATTTTATAAACAAAACATAGGGAAAGGAATGTATTGTAGAATGAACTAATTGTATTTTATTTGGTATTGTGCCCATACATATACTTTAAAGCTGAAGTCCGGGGAAATGTAAAAACTTCCCTTTCTGTGCTGCTTCCTCAGCACTGCACAGGTTAAATCTTGTTTTTGTTTAGGGGAATATTAGATTGAAGTTTTAATTATTTTACCCCTCGCTTTCACAGGCTCCTTAACTCCATGTGACCGTTCCCCCAAAGCCGCTTCTCTTCAATACTCCATTCATCGGTCGCACTCTGACATCATCATGTACAATGCAGCACCAGCAGTCCTGCATTGTGAATGAGTGTACTGAGTGCCGTACCACAACATGGAGTATCCAAGGGAAGAGGAAAAGGCCAGCTGCTTGGGGAGTGAAGGATAAGGTAAGTAACATTTCTTTTTAGAGTTCCTCTAAACAAAATTGTATGCTTAATCCTCCAGTGCAGGGGGAACCCCACTGCAAGTGTAATTTTTACATTTCTCCAGAGTTCAGCTTTAAGTTATAATTACTAAGAAAGAAGTTAAAACTATTATTCAAATAGCCTTTATTTAATGAATGCAACTAGCAATGTGAAATCATCCATTTATTTCTAGTAAGCTGAATGTACTAAACTGCTGAAGCAGATTAAATAGTTGCCTTAGTTATCACACTCTTCTGCATGTGATGTCTTGCTATTAAAAAAAAGCTCATAGTTTTGTAAACATGATCCACATATTCCTCATGCAATGGTATTTTTATATTGTTATATGAAACCAAAAGAACCGTACTTAATTTATTTACTGTATATATAATATATATATATATATGTTATCATTCTTGCAGGTGCTTATGATCTCAATGGACAATATGGAAGGAGATGGACACAATCAAACACTAGTCTCTGAATTCATTTTGTTAGGACTGACAGATAATCACAAGCTGAATATTCTTTTCTTTAACATTATTTTATTAATGTATTTTGTGACAATAATAGGCAATGTGGGTATGATCATTTTAATTTGCTGCTGCACCAAACTTCATAATCCCATGTATTTCTTCCTTGGTAATTTATCATTTTCAGACTTATGTTACTCTTCTGTAATCACTCCAAAGCTGATGACCAACTTGTGTTCTGGCCAAAAGATGATATCCTTTAAAGGGTGTGTCTCACAGCTTTTCTTTTTTGCGCTGTTTGTGGGTGCAGAGTGTTTTCTGGTGACTGTTATGTCCTATGACCGCTATGTGGCAATTTGTAATCCTTTATTATATGCAGTTATCATGAGCCAAACGCTTCGGGTTAAGCTGGTCGGAGCTGCTTACTCTGGGGGAATACTTACCTCAATAATACACACTAGCTGCACTTTCAGTATGACTTTCTGTGGCTCAAACAAAGTCAACCATTTCTTTTGTGACATCCCACCACTTCTAAAACTCTCCTGCACTAACACCTTTATCAGTGAACTTTTTATGTTTCTCTTGTCTAGTACCCTCGGAGGCTTGTCTGCAACAGTTATCATGTTTTCCTATACTAAAATAATATCTGCAATCCTGAGGATGCAGTCTCCAGAAGGAAGACAAAAAGCCTTCTCCACTTGTTCCTCTCACTTACTAGTAGTCTCTTTATTTTTTGGCACAGCCATCTTTCAGTATGCAAGGCCAATTTCTAGTTACTCAGTCCAGAAGGACAAAGTCATTTCTTTAATCTATACAGTTGTTATTCCCATGTTAAATCCAATCATTTACAGTCTTAGAAATGCTCATGTGAAAGATGCCTTTATTAGTGTAATAGATATAACTACTTTATGCAAATAGCAAAAAATTTAATTTCTTTTAGGGCTATTTGGAGCTTAGATTGTAAGCTCTCACGGGCAGGGCCCTCCTTACCATTCGGTCTTGACTTGTAACTGTAATGACTTCCTTATTTCGTAAAATGCTGCGCAAACTGTTGGGGTTTTATCAATCCTTATTATTAGTAATAATAATAATAATAATGTTACAAACCTAAATAAACAGCCCATACAATATATGTAACATCCGATTAGGGATTGTAATAGAGGAAATCTGAATGGTAGATTCCAGACCTGTCAAATTTAAAATTGATTAGTTATGATCCTGAGAAAAATATATATATATTTGGTTTGGGATGGAGCATAAATGAACTTGCCAAGATCTTCTATTTTTTTTGCATTTGATGACAAAGTAATGTGTAGTGTAGGAGCTATGGCAATGTTACTGTCCAGAGTGTAAAGTATTTTAAGATGTTACTAGTTACATTTTAAAAGACTTAGAATGACTTTTTAGACTTTATATAGATTCTCATCTTATCTATTAAATATACTTGTTATACTTGTTATAAATTAGGTCTTTAAATTCCCATAGCTTTAGTTTAGTGCCTACTTCTGGAAAGGAGCTCAATAAATTATTCTGAATCCATGCATAATTACATATAAACTGCTCTGCAACACAAATTATATTCAATATAAATTAAAGAAGAAGGAGATGGACCGCATTGCTGACCTAGATAGCCTTCTGGCAGAGGAACGGGCTGAGGGGGACAAATATGTCCACACGTGGTCCGCCTGGATTGTTTTCAGGAACTCTGATGGATTCCTAGCTGCCCTCTCGCCTTAATATACTCCATCTGAAGAAGCCGTTCGATTGCCTGGCAAGGGGTGGGAGATCACCCTCCCCTTTCCTGACTCTTTCTTTGCTCTGCCCACCTAGGCTGCCCTTCTCCCTCCCTTCTTCTTCCTCTAAAAACTGTTCTCCCTTACCCCCCTCCCCTTTTCCTACGATGTGCACAAGATGTTGGTTGCCCACCTGCTGCGCAAGGCTGCCCGAGAAGCACGTTATACTCACTTACCTGTCTCCAGGCCTCATGTTAAGATGTGATGGGTGGAGACGGTATGAACGTTCCTTGGTGTATACCGCCATACAGGATTTTCGCTATGCGCTGTGCTAAGTGGGCCACCACTGATGTAGATGTTATGATGAAATTTTAATCCATCTTAATTTAGTTTTACTATTTCCGTTAGCGCAAGTTAGTTTGGTTCAACGTTATGATGTTATGACTTATATTCTGATACCTGTCTTGCTGACGATGCCCTTGGGCCCACGGGCCTATAGGCCCTTATCTTATCCCTGTTATTATTTGTACTGTGTATTGTGTTTTCTTTTGTTTTCTTTTGTCAAGGTGGAATTGTCTGTTTGCCTTTTTGTACCACATTTGCAAATCTTTAATAAATTCAGATTGAACTAAATTAAAGAAGAAAATGTTTTACACCAACCATGATTGCTTTAACTTTCTGTATATGCAGGAAAAACAAAACCAAGAGGGAAGGTTCTGGCAGGCACAGTCATGTCAGAAGACTCAAGCGTTAAGAAATTACTACTTGTGATTTTAAATTATATTTAGAGGGTTATTCACTTAGCTGCAGAAGGCAGCCTAGTGAATAACCAAGCCGAACAACGTTCAGCTATTCACTCCAGCCGATTTCAGCCGTACATCAGCTGAAATCAGCCGTACATCGGTTGAAATCAGCCAAACCTCGGCTGAACATGCTCTGCATGTGTGGTTGAGCCAAAGTGCAGAAGACATCTGGAAGACATCCAAAGTGCAACCCGACATCTGGTTTGGCTGAGCCGAAGCTCCAGCAGTTCACTCGTTGCCATTCACCCCCTATTCTCATAGGGGGTGAACAGCAGTGAGTGAATAGCCGAATGCCGCTCAGCGGCATCCGGCTCAGCTGTTCTGCTCGCTACCTCCGAGGTAGCGAGCAGAAGAGAAAAAAACATAAATAAATGAAACAAATATGCTTAAAAATTATTTAAATAAATGTAAAAAAATCAGAAAATCAAAAAAAATTAAGAAAATAATAAAGCACATTTTAAAGAAAAGAAAAAAGAAAACAGCGTGGGGTTCCCCTCCCAAACCATACCAGACCCTTTAGGTCTGGTAGGAAAGTTAGGAGGGACCCCATTTAAAAAAAAAAGCATGGTGTTCCCCCCAAAAGTCTTACCAGACCCTTAAGGTCTGGTAGGAATTTTAGGAGGAACCCCAAGTTAAAATAAAAAAAAAAAGTGTGTGGGGTTCCCCCATAAAGTCATACCATGCCCTTAAGGTCTGGTAGGAATTTTAAGGAGGAACCCAACCCCCAAAAACGGGGAAAAAAGGACGTGAAGTTCCCCCTAAAATTCCATACCGGACCCTTAATCCGAGCACAGGCCTGGCAGGGCAGGAAAGGGGGACGAGCGAGTGCCTCCCTGCGATACCAGGCCACATGCCCTTGGCCCTGGGGCGTTGGCTGTGGGGGTGCAAGCAGGGGGGCTTATTCACATCGGGGTACCCCTTTAATAAAGGTGCACCCAGATGCAGCCCCCCCTTGTGAATGAGTAAGGGGTACTTACTCATGGGTAGGGACACCCCTACCCATTCACTAAAGAGCTAAATTAGAAGTTAAAAAAAAGACGCCAGACTTTAGAAAATTCCTTTAATTGAGAAAAAAAGTATTTTATATAAAAAAAATTTTATATCCACTGATGTAATCCAGCATCAATCACGATGTCCCACGTTGTCCACACCGACCATGACTCGACGAAATAATCATAATTACAAAAAATGTAAAAATTATTTTCTAAAAAGCGATGCACGCCGACCGCATAATAATAATTATAAAAATGATAATTTAAAAAAAAATAATGTTGAATCTGACAGATGCCGGCAAAATAGAAACAATTGAGTGGAGCGAGCGGTGACATCACCGCTCGCTCCGCCCAACTGTTTCCTATTGGCCGACACCTGCAAGAGCGGGCGGAGCCCAGTTTTTATTGTTTAATGACAGATCAGCGTCCCCAGGTCTATTACATTTGTCTATTACAACCGGGGGGAGCGAGCCGTGAGATCACTGCTGGCTCCGCCCAGCTGTCATTCGTGTGAAGAACGGGCGGACCTCCGGCCGACCATTCTCCATGGTTCGGGTGTCACTACGGCTCAGCCGTGCCGAAGCATATGGGTTCGGCTGGGCTGGGCTGAGCCACGTGGCTGCCTTCGGCTGCTGTACGGGCTATAGTGGATAGCCCGTACAGCAGCCCTTCGGTTCGAAACTACGGCTGAATACTTCAGCTTATTAGTGAATAATCCTCTTACAAGTGTATGCAACCACAGACAAGCAGAGCCAGAAAGCAAAGGATCAAACATAACTGGAGCACAGGATGCATGCAGTGGTGTACTAAGCACTAACGGCAGCTAACGCAATTGCAGCAGGTCCTGATGGCGGCCCAGTCAGGCATCGCAATTTAATGAACTTCTCCAACTCATCTGCAATATCGCTTTTCCATTATTAAAAGTTCAGTAACTGCACTTTTGATAGAAAAATTGACAACTTCTTCACAGAATCATCCACTTACATGGGCCTGCATAGGTAATGGCATCTGACTATTCTATCTATCTTGGCAATACCGGACCCTACCAGTCAGAGTTTAAACAGTGGTGAGTGAATCATGCACACTGATACTGGTTACTAAAGCAATATTCTGAAGGTTTTATTTTGTTTATATCTTCTCTATTTGTATAGCCTGTTTAACATAATGCAACACATTTCTTGCAGCCTTGATTGGTAAACATAATGACTTCTATAAGACCAGAAAGAGCTCTACATGGCTGTGATCTTTTCCTAAATATTATCACTGTTGTGACTTGAGCTGAGCTTTATTTTACTTGTCCATCATTTTTGTATGTTACATTGTACTTACTACTAAATAAAGATGAAAACATTTAATTTGTCCCCAGTATTTTTAGGATGTCCAGTCTCTATTTTTGAAATAAACAATAAAGATTATTGTGCATGTACCACTGAAATAATAAATCTCATATGCGCGATAGACCTCCCTGACGCCAAGACGCCTCTAACACAATGGCGGGAGGTGCAGTTTCCGGGGTCAACAGTTATATATAAGGCAGCCTCCCCAGTCTAGCTCAGCCATGCTACAGTGGGGATACACCATAGCAGCAACAACATCTATGGAACACAGTCTGAAAATGCCTGAAACAGTGTGAAAATGTTGAAATAGTTACAATAGAAAACTAACTTGTTTTTCACCAACAAAGTTTTAAAATCTGAAGGTTTACTAAAGATGCCAAATTCATATATTTCCTGGAAGCAGAAAACATCAAGAATTAAAACATAATTAAGTCATCTCCAAGATTTTTTTAGAGTATGGAAGGATTATAAATTCTATGACAGGCCTTAAAGTAGAACTATGGGGTTAAGGCTTTTCCCCATAGTTCTCCTTAGGGTAACGGGAGGACACAAACTAGCGTCCTCCGTCACCCTAAGCACAGTATACTGCGAGCTACAGCTCACGGTATACTGAGACGCTGCAGCTGAAACGGATCCGGACAATTATGTCTGGATCCGCCCAGGTGCCTGAGTGACAGCTGACTCTGCCTATCTAGAGGCAGAGCCAGCTGTACCCGCCCCCTCCCCTGTCGGATCCGTCGGAGCTGTGACTCGTTCGAGAGGTGAGCGAACGCCGGTATGTGTTCGCTCACCTCCTGATCTACTGAGCCGACCTGTGACAGTCTCATTGTCACAGGTCGGCTAGAACTATGAGGTGAGTAAAAAGCACTCACCTCATACTTCTCCTTCAAATGCTATATTTGTTCCCAATCGGGATTTTTTTAAAATGACATTAATTACATTTAATTTAATTACATTTAAAAACTGTCTGGGTCTATTCTCTAAGCTGCCATAAGCAGCCAGGTGACTAACCGACCCAAAGTGAAGTGAGCCGAACGGTGTTCGGCTATTCACTTCAGGCTGGTACGGCTGATTCCAGCCTTATATTGGCTGAAATCAGCCGTACATCGGGTGGCTTCGTTTGGCTTTAGGTCGGCCGAACATGCTCAGCATGTTCGGCCAACCCGAAGTGCAGGAGGAGTTCAACTCAGCCGATCCAACATCTGGATCGATAAAGCCGAACCCGATTAAACCGAACCAGGCAGGCTACTTGCTGCTGTTCGGCTAATTCTCATAGATGCCGAAAAGCACTGAGTGAATAGCTGAATGCCGCCGAGCGGCATTCGGCTTGGCTGTTCTGCTTGGTACCTCTGTGGTACCGAGCAGAATAGAAAAACAGTTAAAAAAGTAGCAAAAAATAAAATAGAAAACGATTGGGCGGAAACAGCTACTAACGTCATGGTTACCATATAATCTCTCGTGACTGGGTAGGGTCTCGGCTGTGAAGATGACTCTCTTGCCTAAACTCCTATACTATTTTAGAACTATTTTTAGAACCAGTGAATATACCCTCTCATGCTCTGAGGTCAATGCAGCGGAGTATTCTCCAGTTCCTATGGCACCCCCGTAAAGCTCGAGTGGCTCGGGCCACCTTATATAAACATAAAAAAGATGGGGGGATAGGCCTACCCAATATAATGCTATACTACCGAGTCTCTCAGCTCCTACCATTGATAACCATACATCAACGTAGGTCTCCGCCATTATGGATTATGTTGGAAATCCCAAATTGCTCTCCATTACCCCTCTCTGCACTGCCCTGGCTACCATCCTGTGACAGGCCCAATAACCTGAGTCCCCTTATGGTGCATGCTCTACAAGTGTGGGATTCTCTCAAGTATTCAGCAAACTTCCTCTCGCCATACCTACCACTTCTCCCCTTGTTGGCCCAACCATTGTTTAGGCCGGGTATGGACGACCCCGAAGCTTTCCGATGGTGGACAAATAATGGGTTTTGTATAGTACAGGATTTCCTGCGCACCCCTGCCATACCTTCATGGACCCACCTAAGGGAACATAACAAGATACCTGAGGTTGAACGTTACAGGTACATCCAACTTCACCACTGGATTTCCACACTGACTAAGAGGGGAGACCCTACCCGGTCTATGACATGTTTTGAACTTATCTGCCTTTACTCACCGGAGGGCCCGAGTATAGTGACAATATTATATTCCCAACTGAACAGGCTGTTTAGCCACTCAGGAGGCCGAATTATAACAGAAATGGGTAGCGAAGGACTGGCAGCAGATGTGGAAGAATATGGCGAGCTGCTCTATAAATGTCACAAATGCTGAAGTTGCATATAAAGTGGTAATGAGATGGTACCTGGTCCCGGCACGGTTGGCACGCCTATTCCCTTTGGCCTCGAATAATTGCTTCCGAGGTTGCAGGGAAGTAGGAGATATGATACATGTATGGTGGCGATGCCCATTAGCCACTCGCTTTTGGATAAAGATATTTAGACTGCTTGGTTCCTTTTTTGACATACGGGTTCCCACAGACCTTCAATATGCACTCTTCCACTTGTCTATACCTGGATTGACTAAAGCACAGCGTGCATTAACACACTTTATTTTCCAAGCAGCCAAACTAACCATGGCAGGCAACTGGAAGAAGCAACAAATCTCTTATGTGGAATTTGGCAATAGGCCAGATAATGTCATGCTTAATGAACGCCTCTCCAGTATTTTAGAAGACAAACATAATAAGTTTCTGGGCATCTGGGAACCTTGGCTCTGGTATCGCCACCCTAACATGGATCCAATGAGCTACCGAGGTATCTGGTGGGGTCTGATCTTTAAAATGGCTCAGGTACTAGAGGAGGGGCGGGGCCGACTCTGCTGCTGGTCAAAAACAATGAATGACGGTCCGAGGTGGGACCTGCCAACACTATTGGTATGAGGGATACCTTCACTCTTCCCCCTTTCCCCTCTTGCTTCCTTCCTCTTTCTTTTCTCCCTGGGGGGTCTCTACCTCGCCCCCTCTTCTTCCCTTCCCCCTTGGTCTTACCTTCTCTTCCTGGGTTCTCCTCTACGAGGTGTAAGACCTGTTCACTTTGATGGTACACAAATTGTGATTTTTTTGTCACAGGACTACAGGTGAGACACCTGCCTGCTCTTGATGTTACATATCATAGGATGTGATTTTGCATTCATTATGTTTGTATTGTTCCTTGACTAACCCCTATTTTGGAGCACTGTGAACCCATTGTCTATGGGGTCTATTCACGAAGCTGCCGAAGGATCTGGCCGTAGCTTCGGCCGATCCTTCGGCTAGCTTCGGCCCCAGGACCACTTCGGTTCAGTAGAACCGAGGGGGTGCTGTACGGGCTATTCAC